GTTCAAGAGCGCGCAAGTTCTGGTGGGTCAGCGGCAGGACTGCGATTCATTAACGTTTAAGAAACACTATATGTTTAAATGTTCTGTGTTCCATGTCCGTGATTTCTCTCCCCAGCCTCACTTCGTTGTGCAAAAAACCAGCTGGCTGTTACATCTGTGTGCCAATAGGTCGCATAAGACTAATTTTGCATAGGCAAATGACCTGGGGCGATTGGGAAAGCGCGTCTAAATACAGTGCAAAGGTTCGGGGTTTGAGACTGGAAATTCCAACCAGCCTCGGGTCGTCGCCAATAATCAGCAATATCGGCTCTTGGCTACACTGCAAGCATGTTGTAAACTTCCCCAACTTTCAGAACTATAGACGTCTGTCTCTAGCCGGGGGAGACGCAAGGCTAGATGGTATGGCCGCTGCCTCTGCAAACACTTTCTCTAATTGTTTTATACAATCTCTACTCTTTCATTTCCAATGGGCCTGCCGTGTTTGTCTGTTCCATCGCAAGGGGGACGCACAGCTGAGCTCACCGTAAAATGGAACCAGAATATCTCGTCTCCTCCCCGTTTAATGTCCCCCCCCCCCATTTCTGATTTTCTGTCTGCCGCGCTTTCAACGGCTCTCGAGTGGGAGGAGAGTGAAGCGAAGATACAAGCCAACTTCCTGCGCGTGAGAAGCCGTCGCGCTGCCTCCGATGGGGGAGCAGTTGGGAGGAGGAGCTGCCTTTTAAAAGAGGAGGTCTGGCCTCTTCTCAGAAGTCACCGAAATGGAGTTTAAAGGCAATAAGCAACTGCTAATAAGTAAGAGTCACACAACCTCCCGCCCTTTGTAACTCTTAGGGAAAGGGCCGAAACCAGATTTTATCAAACCACAATCGTCCCCTCCCTGCATGGTGAAGACTGCGCAAGGTTTTGGGGAAGACTGCTACAGATACCTCAATAAGGAACAACTTAAGGAAATAAGCTTCATTTTTTCCTCCCCCGACCTTGCCCTCTGTTCAGTCAACACGCTTCTTTGTTTTTATAATTACTCTCCCATTCTCTGAAGGGGTTGTTTCAGTGCAAAATCCCTGAAATTTTATCAATTTCAGTGAAAAAGAATTATTGAATGCTGGCGCTTAACATTACCTTATGATTTATTTCATTCCCACCACCCAGTACAGTCCTATGCAAATTTATGTGAAAGTTAACATGTAGCCTTGATTTTTCACTTTTTTCATACATTCAAGATTAGGTGGCAGTTACCTAAATTTTTAATAATAGCCTCACATGCTGGAATTAAGTCCTTCCTGGTACCATTCATCCTGGTACCAAGCAGTACATCTCTGGATTTACTGATGGAAAACAAGTGGCTCAACAATGATTTAACTGACAGAAATGGCAGTAACAAAAATGTCTAACAATTGTATTAACAAAACATGATTTCTGCTGCCCTAATTTGAATTTTTAAAATGAAAAAAACTTGTGCATGACCAGAAGTATATTATGTCAAGAGATTGCGAGCTTCATTTGGTTCAGGCTTTCAAACAAATCTGTGGCATAATTCACAAAACATGCTAAGTCATAATAGAGTTGGCTTTGGCTTACTGTGAATTGCATGAATGTAGCCATGGAGCTAGTAAAATATAGTTAATAGCTTAGGTGTGTTGTGCAAACCCAGGTAATCGAGGTTTAATCAACAGATTGTAGTTAAGGTATAGCTAGCACAGCGAATCTAGCCTGTACGTCATTTGCATCAACTTCATAAGAAGAGCCATGCCATGCTGAATCACACTAAAAGCTGATTTAATTGAACATGTTGGCTCTGCAGTGGCCAATCAGATAGTTATGAGGGGTCTACAAACTGGACATGAATGTGGTTGCATTCTTCTACTTGTATTCCTTAACTTTTACTGAGAGTTCTGGTATCAGATGTAATATACATTGTGTTTGATTATGTTTCACAAGGTTGGTGTTCACTCTTAGCAACCACATAGATAGATTTCCTCCATGTTCCATTTGTTCCTAACCTGGTGTTTCAGGTCTTCTAATGGTGCACTGATCGCCACTGCTTCTTCAAAGTCCAACTTTTGCTTCCATAGAGTGTCACAGGGAATACCATGGCTTGCATGATTCTGATCTTTGTAGGTATAGACACATCACAACATCTGAGTATCTTTTCCAAGGACTTAATGGCTCCTCTTCCAAGTGTTAGTCTACAGCGTATTTCTTGACTGTTTCTTCCTTTACTGTTCATGTTTGATCCTAAAAGGCAGAAGCTGTCTACCACTTCAATATCTTCATTATCAATTCCAAAGCTGGTTGTCATATCTGTTGTCATTAGTTTGATCTTTTTATATTCAGATTTAGTCCCATTTTTTCACTAAGCTCCTTGACTTTTATTACTAGACCTTGCAGATCCTTTGCATTTTCAGCTATTAGAGTAGCATCATCAGCAGAGCACAGGTTATTGATGTTTCTTCCTCCAGTTTTGAAACTGCACTCATCTTCTTCCAGTCCAGCTTCCTTAATAAATATATTCAGCATGTAGATTGAATAAATAAAGGGAGAGCATACAGCCTGGTCTCACTCTTTTGCCAACCTGAAGTTAGTCTGCTTTACTATGTTCTGCCCATACTGTGGCTTCCTGACCTGTATATAGGTTTCTCATGAGGACAATTAGACGTTTTGGGATTCCTATTTTTCTAAGCATGTTCCACCGCTTGACATGATCGACACAATTGAAGGCCTTTCTATAATCAATGAAGCACATAGTGACTTCTTTTTGGTGTTCTTTGGTTTTCTCAACTATCCAGTGTGCATCAGCAATACTGTCTCATCTTCCTTGGCTTTTTTAAGGCCATCTTGAACATCTGGCATCTCTTTTTCCATGTAGGGCTCTAATCTATGTTGGATGTAATCTATATTGTGCTTACTGAACACTATATACATCACTTTGAGTGGTAAAAATTTAAAGTGTGTTATAAATCGAATAAATAGTAACCATTGGTAATGTCTCTCAGGAATGGCCTAGTTGGTGACCAACTTGGAGTCTTCATGTGAATATTTGCCATTACCACCAAGTTCTGTACCCACACCCTAGGCTTCAAACCATTCACAGCCTAGCCATTGGGCCATGCAGCGCCAGTGATTAGGGTATTGTCTTCCCATTTTATCTGGGATTCCTTTTGGTTTGTGACTTCTGAGGAAATAGATTGGGTGCTCTCTAAGATGTCCTCTGCTACCTGGGGGCTGAATTGTTGTCCCTCTTAGCTCCTTCAAGCAGCTGGAGAGGGATAGTTCCCTGGAACTGGGAAATTGTTAGCACCTCATTGTGGGAGAAGTCACTGCCGGTAGTGTTAAAGGAAGCTATGGTGCACCCCCTCCTTAAAAAGGCCTTCTCCTGATCAAGAGATGTTAGACAACTACTCCCTGGTCTCTAACCTTCTTTTCTAACAAAGGTTTTTGAGACAGTAGTGAAAGATCAACTGCAGAGCATCCTAGATGAAGCAGATTATCTGGACCCTTGTCAGGGTATGGGAATGATACAGTTTTGGTTGTGCCAGTACATAGTTGTTGGGACCTGGATGGGATAATGTGCCTGACCTAGTTCTTTTAGATCTTTCAGTGGCCTTCAATACCAATGACCTTGGTATACCTCTTGACCAACTACAGGGGTTTGGAGGCACTGTTGTGCAGTGGTTCTGCTCCTTCAACAGATGGTTCCAGTTGGTGGTAAGAGAGGAAAGGTTGGCTTGTTGGCTGCTCCCCTGTGGGTTGCCTTGGGTTAATTTTACATGAAATTAATTAAATAGATATTGCTGGGAAAGTGATGCTGATGATACTTAGCTCCAGTACCTTAAGCCATGCTGCTGATGTTGTTGAGATGTCCTGGTGCTTGGAGGCTGTAAGGGTCAGAATGGGAAAGAACAAGTTAAAATTGAACCCTAGCAAAATGGAGTTACTGTTTGTCAATCTGATTCTCCAGCAGCTCCAGTGGTATCTCTGGATGGGAAAAAACTACCTCTGAAAGAGCTAATCTGTGACTTTGGGGTCCTCCCAGAACAGCAGGTAGAAGCTGCAGCTGGGGGGGCCTTTGTCTAGCTTTGGCTGGTGTGCACGTTGTAGTCTTACCTGGGACAAAAGGACCTTGCTACAGTGATTCATGTCCTCATCACGACCCACTTGGATATTGCAATGTGTTCTACATAGGGCTGCCTTTAAAGACCACTTAGAAGCTTTAGTAGGCCAAAGTGCAGCAGCCTATATACAATCTGATACCAGTAGAATATATTACACCTTCGCTTTGGATCCTGCACTGGCTTCCCATAGGCTTCCAAGTGCAATTTAAAGTGCTGGTCTTAACCTATAAAACCAGGGCTTAGCACCAAGTTACTTTCAGGACTGTATTTGCCCACTAGAATTGGCCTGATTAAATCAGTCTTACTGGGCAAACAGCTAGTAGATTCCCACTTTCATGTGGTGATGAGGGAGGCAAGGCTCAGAGGCGTTGCTTCCCAGTAGCAGCACCAGTCCTCTAAAATGGCCTCCTGTAGTTTCTAACTGGACCGCTTCCTGGAACCAGTTGAAAAGAGAGCTCTTCCAAAGAATGTTTGGGATTTTGGTTTGCTGCATGTTTTTAGGAATATGTGTATGTATGCATTTTAATGCTGACAGTGGATGTTTTAATGGTTGTTGTATTCCTGTAATCTGCTAAGAGTCCTGCAGGATTCTGGCGGGGTATTAAACAAACAATTACATGCTGAGCACATTGTATGAACCAGAATATTTCGTTTAAGACTGGTTGGTATTCATTCCTGTCTGGTCAAATATACATTTTAAGGCCCATTTTAGTCAATGTGAAATAAAGCAAATATAATTACTGATGTTGTTGAAGGGACAGGAACAGGAAGAGAAGCAGTCCAACCCTTAATTCTTCATAGTACTGAGTAAATATTTACATGGACTTCTGATCAATGCCTTTCATTCCCTAAATTGCACTACCCAAGTTATGGAATACATGTTGAAACATGTACCTCCATGTAAGCAATATAAGTAAGTAAAGCAGACTTTGATTACTGCAGGAAATGGCAGGTGCACAGTCCTGGCTATGTACTTCATTGTGTTACTAAGGTGATTTTACTTATACAGAGGGAGTGGTCACCTCAAAGGTGGTTCAGCTCCTATTAGCAAATGTTTGGATCCTTTCAGTTAATTTTCAGGTTAACGAGAAACAAAATCTTTTTCTGCCCTGAAGCTATCCCTGTTTTATATCCAACATTTGCAGGATATGGAAACAATTCTAAAATGTGGAATATTGCATCTTAAATACCTACAGGATTTATCATTACAGTGTTAAATAATACTTGGGTTTAAATATGTGATTTAAAAACAACTAATATCCAGAATTCTGTATTAATCAAAAAAGACATCAAGGAATATGCTATCCAATCAGATCAGACCACGCTCATCAGAGGTGAGAAATAATGGATCATAGTAACAATTTTATAGATTTTATGCTCAGTGTATGCTATATTGCAATATTTCCTGCTATTGTTTGATAAGAATAAAAATATATAAACAAACATGTTAGTTCTTTCCATTTCTAATCCTTTCTTATTGTCAATAATGGAAGTTACATATAGGCTAATTTTAAACTATAATCAAATAATATTTGAAAGTATTATTATTATTATTTAGCAGCCGAAAGTGTTATTTGATTTGAAAGTATTTAAAAATATTATTAGTTGATTACACACGACAGTGATGAAGATTTTACAGTTTTTACTCAGTTGATTATCATAATTCTCTTCCACCTGGACTGCAAGAACTATTGGTTTCATAGCTGTTCTCTTATTTGGCACCATTTTAACTTTAAGGACATGGTCATGGTCCTGCAGTCAGAAATAATTCAGTTAATATGGTTGCTATACAGTAGGCACCCACAGGAATGATTCCAGTGTTCTTTGATCGATAGAGCTGAAAAGCTACTAGCAACAGAATGTCATAAGTGTCAAGTTCTCTAGAGCAGCACTGCAAGCAGCCGCCCTATTGCTGGGTGTGACTCAGTACTACTAGCAGTAACTATAATACAAATATGCATACTAAAGAGAGCAGTAGCTTCTCAGGAATGTCAAAGCCGTGTTTTTCTAATGTAATATTAAGGAAATTATGCAGTAAAAGTAACACTTAGATAAGGAATAGAGATTGTATGATTGTTCTGACGTGGTTGAACTACAATTTGCAACACTCCCAGCTAACATAGCCAGTGAATGGATTCTTGGAGTTGATGTTCATCAATACCTTGTTCACAAATTTCCTATCCTTGATAATGGACCTGAATACAGGCAATAAAAAGTTCTAGTGTAATCAGTTTCAATTCAAAGGAAAATATTTATTTTTAAAGGATCATATGAATGGAAAAGTAGAGTTTTTATCTCTTTCCCCATGTCTTCTTCTGAATGTTACCAAAATAGTTCAGTGATGGTAGTTTGCTTAAACAACAAAAGGCACATTTAGAATGAGTCATCTCAGGAAAGTCAGCACCTCATTTAGAGGGATACAGTCACATCTGAGCAGTGGTAGAGCAGGTGGTTCCACTTCATTAGCAATGGGAAGTAGTCCAGTCTCATTTGGAGTACTATGTGATGTACATGGGTCTGCCATGGAGAGAATTCTGAAATTTCAGCTAGACCAAAATGCAGCAGTTAATATTTGCTGCTTGTACAGCTTCCAGGAGTATATAAGCATCAATTCTAAATCAACATCTTTGATTGCTAGTAAGAATCTACATATAAGATACTGTAGCGGTTCTTAAGTTGAAAGCCTTGTATAGTTTGGACTGGGAAACCTGAAGGATAAGATAAACTTATTAACAATTATTAATAGATTTTTTTTCTTAATACCCTGCACCTGAGGAACTTCATACCATTAGAAATCTAAGAAGCATGGAGAGTTGGACAGTCCATACTTTATTTTTGCTATTGCATTAATTGTATAATTAAAGGGGAAAAGTTTTTTCATGCTGACAAAAGATGTATTTTTAATATATTTATTAGAAAATTATAATAAAATTATTCTCCGTGGCACCAGCTGGTTATCCTTTCCTTTAGTCTTCCTTCAAGCAACCTTAACCATGCATTTTTTACTGTTCTTTCTTATACAAGCATCAAAACATGTTCTCTGAAACTGACATTTAAGAGTAAGTTATAACAAGAGACTAAGAGAATTTTAAAACAGACAGTTACAGCTCATGATATTATCTCTCATTTCTACTATTTTGGCATTAAGCAGCTTTGCCACTCCTCTATTTTAATTGTACAGTATAGGACAGTTTAATTCAATGTGGATTTTAAAAATTTAATACAATTCTTGCCTTGCTCTAAATATAACTGCTATATAATAATTTAATGTCATCAGTCATCAACTCAGAATACACCTATGCAGCAGAGATAAATTACAAAAAGTTGATGCCAAAGATTTGCTCCATAATAATGGGAGAGCAGTTCATATAATGTTCACTTATATTGCAATGTTCTACTGAATTAGTAGAGGGGACGTGGTGGCGCAGCGGCTTAATGACGCTGAAAGTTGCCGGCCAGAAATGGTCAACA